TCACTGATGTTTTATTTTTAATAATCTAAGCTACTTTAACATTCTCATGTATATTTTCTTTCAGCACACAAGTACTGCATTTTGTCACTGACCCTTACACTGAGGGGTCACTCTGAGGGGTTTGGGCCAAACGATTGTACTCAGACCTYTGTGATTGCCTTAAATACATACACAGAGCAATAACATCATTGCAGATCTGAGCCAACTTCATTGTTCAATTAACACTTTACAGCAGTTGGCATAATACATGCCCACAGCTGGAGGAWTCCTTCATAAGCAAGGCATTATTTCAACACAATTATTGTCTTCTCCCAGCAATGATTTAGTCGGCGATGCTGTGCCTCCACGTGTGCCCTGTGCGTGTGGGGATCTCTGCCAAGGGGCCTTATCTGGGCTGAAACTGTGCCACCCCACAGCTGCAGCAGACAGTGGCCACTTTGAGAAGTAAACAATGATATTGAGATCTGCTCCCCATCTCCTCCCTGCTCCCCAGCCCAGTGCCAGCCCCAYGCTCAGGACACACAAGGCACAGCCTGGTGACACGGCCACCCCTGGGCASAGCCACCAGGGACCTGCACGCTGCTTCCAAGAGACCTGGGCTGTCCCTGAGACCAGAGGATCTTTCAAACCATGCAGGGCAAACTATTGCTGGAGTCCCACTCGTCTCAATAACAACGGGATGTGGAGGGTTTATCTGTGGAACAGCTTTTTATCTTCCACTGCTGCTTGTCAGGCAATAAGAGAWTGAGAGCCACAGAGAACATCCAGGCTGTGTTGCTGTGCTCACACTGCAAAGCTGATCCCAAGGGTTTGGGATTTGTTAAAACTCCCACAGGGCTCAGTGAGTTTCATGCTGCACCCAAAATAAGAGAAGACAGGTCACACAKCAAGCACACAGAGCCTCTCGAGTAAAACGAGCATGTTGAGCATGCTTTAGAGTCTTTAAAAACACTTCCTGACTATTCTTGTCTTTCATATCAGCAATTAGACAATGTGCATGGTATTCTTCCAGGAAAGTTATCAAAGCCAATCTGGTTTATTTTAGATAAGCAAAACAGAAGTTTAGCATGTGTAATGAAAGCAGTTCCCCAAAATTATCAATTTTGCAATCTCTGCTAACACAGTCAATGACTYAAAGAACAAAATGGCAAACTTTGAGACAGGCAAAGAGCTCTGCAACTCCAAAGCTGTCTAAGTGAGGAACAAGGACATGTACATGGGTCATGCACACCATGAACTGCCAGTTGTACAGACTGAAAGCAAGCTGGATTCCAGTGCAAGCATTACTGACGAGCTTAGTTAGATGCTGGTATTTCCAGAGAAGCAGGGGAGTGTTAAAAAAAAAAAAAACAAAAAAACAAAACCAAACCAAAAAAGCCAGAACACAATAACAAAAAAGAAGTGATCCTAAGGATTTTTAAGAGAAATAGACGTAAGTCTTGACACAAAAGTAAATATTGCCAAGGTAGCACTCCAGATACTCATCTAGATCAGAAGTGGGGCTGAGTGTAGAATGGAGGCTATGGAAGGGATTTGCAAACACTGCCAACGAGCAAACATCAGCTGGCACGGGACAACACTTGTACCATTGTGCAACAGAGAGTATCTGATGCAGACACATCAGTTATTTCAGTGCCTTCTCTAATTTATTGCTGGTGTGCAGGGTACATCCCCTCCAGCAGTAACTCCCTTCAACCATGCTCTGTTCAGCTGCCCCAGGTGAATGAGAAGACAGAAAATTTCCCTGCAGTTCTAGAAACTGGCACTTGCATGTTATCACGTGTAAAGAGATACAATCACTGTGAGACTCTTAGTGCTGGATGCAGATGAAAATGGTGGGACTGTTCTGACAAACTGGATTATAAATTTAAGAAATCAGACATTGCTGAGCAGCTGTCATTACACTTTCTTCACCTCCATCCATTTGTCATGCAGAGTTCAACTCACAGTCACTTTGCCATTAGCTTATCTCTTCTAACAATATTTTGATAGTGGCAAATATATTTCTAAAGGATGAAGCACAATGACCTTTGAAACACAAACACTTAAGATGATAGCAGAACATTAGCCAAAGAAAAGAGAGAAAAATCAAATGGTGTGACAGCCACTTCTCCAGAGATGCTTCAGACATGATGCTATTCCTCATATTCACACTGGTAAAGGGGACATCCTTTAATGTAGACAAGTCTCTGGCACAACTAAGATATTTTCCTTTCTTGTTCTGTTATTCCATTCCCTCTCACTGGCTGCATCAGACCATGCCACCAGATTAAAGAATAAGTAACAAATGGCTGCCTGTGGCCAGAAGCACAGAAATAAAGGGGCTGCTGGGGGTACTGATTCAACTTCCACCTCTGCAGGATCTATCAATAGAGGCACAACTATCAGCCTCTCAAGCTCTAACATCTTGCTTTTAAAATCCAAGCCAGCATCAAAGGGAATATCCTCCAACAGGATATGTCACTCCAGTTTTGCACATTAAATCTTTCCCTTAATAATGACAGCTGAAAAAGACAWGAGATTTTCTTTACACTAWGAAAGAAACCYCTAAAAACAAAAACAYCAAAAAACAAGTCACTACAGACCCCACTAAGTGAAGAAAATAAATCTTCCAAATCAGCTGTACATCCAGAGAACAAATGCTTACCTGTGCACTCTTCAACTGTGTCTCCAGTTCCAGGTGACAGTGTGACCTCTGTGGGTCCCGTAGCCATTATATAGTCACTGAAACAGAGATGAAATCATCAGTTAAATTTTAGTCCCTCTCCTCAGCAGAATAAAGTCCCACCCAGCATAAAGAAAGAGTTGAATCCTTTCTGGAACTGCATGCCCAAAGGGTTGTCACAAACACAGCTTGCACACTTTTTGGTACTTAGGCCACAGAGCTTTTTGTTTTTCAGTAACACTTATTTCTCCAACCACAACTAACAACCYAGTCTAATTATTGTCAGTACCTCTCTCTTTTTAGGAGACCAGAATCAAAGTTTGCTTTCAGGAAAGATGYCATTRCACTTGCTCAGCAAACAYTGCAATGCTTCCCAGTCTYAGAATAATGAACCTCTGCTAGAGAGTGACAGCTCCATGCTACTGTAAAAAACAAAAGTAAGTGCTCAGCTGCCCAGGGTTCGTGTGTTGCAGTGTCCTCACAGCAGGCACCAGTCTAGTCTGTCAGCATYATTAAAACCAGTTAAGCATCAGCACTGAAACATCATTCCGGGCTATGCTACATTTGTGGAAACCAATAGATCAAATTTATTTTGTATCCAGTGCAATCAGCTTTTAACCACAAGCTCTGAAACCTTATCGCCAGCAGGGCTATTGATCAACCAAATTAGCTGATGGCATCATCTTGCTCCCCGATGAAAACAAAAGTTSAGCCTAGTTTTAAGATCATTCAATGTTAACTGGCTCCACTTTGTATTTTCCAAGACTCCTAAATGGGTGTTGGTCAGAGACAAAGGAACGAAGCAGCAGACCACAGGAGTTACAGTACAAATGCCAAGCAACAATGGAAATGTGACAGTTTAGGAGGGCAGCTCATAAAWACTGTCCTTTGTTATGGAGATACCTCAGTGAGACTTTTATATAATTCGAATTTTCAATATGCTGTGTCAGGACTTGAGGAGTAAGAAATCTTTACAAACAAATCCTGCTCCCTTTTCTGCATAGATCACATCTAACAATTTTCCACCTTTAAGTGGTGTAACAACACAAACAAGTCAAGTACCTCAACAGCAAACAAGACTGTGATTCTATCCTAATTTGTTCAATCACTAAACTCTTCAATTTCTTCTGTAATACCCACCTACTCTAAAATCTGTCATGCCCAAAAGCACTGGGACCTTGCTGTGAGCCCACATCCTCAGAAAACATTAAAAGACAAAAGTGCACAAACTCAGAGGCAGAAAAAGAAAGAAGCATCCTGTGGAAAAAGAGACCATGGAATTGAGCATTCCCTGCACTGRCCACACAGACATGCAAATGCCATAGAGAGCTGTGGGGAGGAATGGGGAGGTGTAAAAGAGAAGCAAACAGSTCACCTGTGAGCACTGGGCACAGGAGAGCATTAACACAATGCAGTTCCAAATAATCTCCCGTCAACTTGCTAAAAATCAGTGAAAAAGTCATTGCAGCAACCAGGACTGATTACACCTTTCCTAACTGAGGTGCACTGAGATTGTGAAAAAATTGTCAGACAGTATTGAGAAGCAATAAAATATAAGATTCCTAAGTTTCCTTTTAGATGATCACAACCAATCAACTTTTATCCCTTTTTCCCCATGTCAAGGGGACAAACTGACAAGTCACCAGACTCGAGTTTATTGTCACAGAATGTGAGTGCACCTGGCATTTGGCTCATTCAGACCTCWAACTTCTGCTTTACCCACCTTCAATTTAACCAAAGCAAGAGAAAATTKCTGCTTTCAGATCACTAGGAATCCTTCCAGTTTTTGAAGGTATTTTGACTGCAGTGTTTATCATAACTGCAAACATACATTTCCGACTGGTGTGTCTTTTACACAAGTAGAACTACAACTGCAAAGCAGCTCAGCTCTGAGGCTGATTCTTCACAGCCAAATCAGCTCCAGCATGAACTCAATTTTTTTGCCAAGTTCTCTGGGGCACATGGAGCTCAAGTGTCAATTACAAGGGTGCCCCATTTAGGACCTAAAGCTTTGGTGCCTTTGTATACCACATCACAGTATCATCTTTTTCCATTTAACAGAACATCACAGATTTTCCCGAGCTTTGAGTTATCAAGTAGCTGAACTACAGGGGAAAAAAAATCCATGTAATATATGCTGTATAAATTCCACCAGTTAAGTGGAAATTCCATCATTAAAAATCCGGTTACACACCTGGAGGAAAGTTGGCTATTAGATGGCATTTTGACTTCAAACTCTGGYGGCAGTGAGCTGTACTTTACAGAGAAAAGTTAGCAAATGTTCTGAGCAACAAACCCTAGCCTGGGGGYCAGTGTAATGGAGAAAAAGAGGACAAAACCCCGTCAATACAAATAGATGTGAGTGCACAGGCATTAACCAATCGAACCTCCAGACATTCACCACTTCCCAGCCTTAATCACAGCAGACAGCTGCAGTGTCAGGATGTATCAATGCATGTRCATCCAGTTCAATCAGCTGTACCAGCACCCTGGGAGCTCTCCCAGAGCACTGCACCATTAGAGACAAAGTTTTAAACAAATACTGTCTGTGSATTGATTTTCAGTGATAAAAATACCAGGTTAAATGAATGGCCTTTTAGAGCAGCATTTCTGATACTCTTGAAGTGCTACAGGAGAAGTGGAAAAGATGCTCGCAGAGGGATGCAGGGGACTTCTCTCAGAGGGGGAGCAGGCACAGACATGGCCAGCAGAGACAGGAGAGCTGCCAAGTCACAGCCACGGTTTGCTTCTCACTAGAAGTGGAACAGTGGGCACATTTCCCCAGTCTACAGCTTTCTAGTATGTTCTTAATCCTCTCTCAAAGAGTATTTGCAATCCCTGCCTATGCACATGCCTCCTGCTGCAGAGGCACAGAGCAAGCAAGATGCTGAATCTSTGCCAGAGCCCTCAAAAGCCAGACTTGGCCATGGCCAGTAAATCCACTGCATCAATTCCTGTGTGGAGCATGGAAAAAGTTTACTAAAGTTTACCAAAAGCACAGTGTTCGCCTCTCCTTGCACAGGGTGATGGGCTGGATTACCACAACTGTGAATTAATTGATTAATCACTTGCAAACACTGGCTTCCTATGCAGATGCAATCACAAAAACAAAACTGAYATCATTAGACCTTATTTGCAATGCTAGGGTGTATTTTAAAGCAATTAAAGTCCTACAGAGTTGCAGGGTTTGTTTTACCTTCAAAGCAGACAGTAGAACTTAGTTAGCAATCACCACTGCCCTCACTTGGATTGATGGTTTAGATCCAGGCTCCCTGCTATCCCTGACAAAATTTCCACTGATAACCCTGCTGTGATACATTCACTTGGAGCTCTTCAAGTCATTACAGGAACTAATGAGTCTGAAAAGCAAAAAGAAATCTCCAGGAATAGGAGAAATGTCCTTGTCTCCCCTCTACAAACTGAGGCAACTGGACAAATATTTGGAGTCCTCTATGGGAGGGCARCGATAGGGCACAAGAAATAAAGTTCCAGGATGACGTTGTGACCATTTGCTTTGACCAGCAGAACACATGACTTGATACGTGCCTGGGGGGTAGAGGGGTGGGAGAATGTGAAATGAATAAAAGACAATTCCCTTTCACTGCTTGGTTTGTGTGTTTAAGGACTCCTGGGAAGTCAGCATTGTACAGGACTCAAGTTTCCTGCGTTTAACAAAGGTCCAAGACAAACACTTTCTGCTCAGCCTCAGCAAGGGGACACRGCCTCCTTGCTGTCTCTCCATGGAGCAGAAGATTTGGAATCTGCCCAGAAGGAAAGCTCCTACCCCACCTTTAGTGCTCCTTCAGCTCCAGTCCWGGCTCTGCACAAGCATTCCTTGTGACAGAGAGATCAAAGGAGATGCTGAACCCTGAACAGCCCCTCTCCTATCACATAAATGCTSGAGGAAATAAAGCCTCAAGAATGCRAGGCACTGCGTTCAGTTAGCATCTTCATAGCCTASAGAAGACAGATGATGGCAAGCAGCCAAGAGAAGGAGGTGAAATTTTTGCCTGGAGCTTTTAAAGTTCGATTTCCTCCACACTACAAAAACTATTTGAAATCAAGCTTATGCTCCAGATTTCAGGACACACACTTTTCACAGCAAGATGCATCAGCACAAGAAAATGGGCCCTGTGGATCTCATCTGGTCCTCTAGGCCACCACCCTGCAGCCAGCCTCCCCCAGAACACACCTCAAGCTACCACAGGACCTCAGTGAAAGCCCCCCTATTTCTCCTGAAAACCAAGGTTCAAAAAAAGCACAAAATGCAGGATGGTTTCATATTCAGATCACATTCTGCAGCAAAAGGTGGCTGACAGGTTAAATTTTCTCTCTTGGTAAAGCACACTAGAGAACTTTGTTCTGACAAAATGTGGTTGATGCCTTTCCTCTCTGTGAACCCTTCAAGCTATCAATGAACTCCTTAATCCAACAACAGCTAAGTGAAATTTACCCTCTGCAATTCCACAGAACAGGATTTCAGAGTCAATCAGACAGCAACAGCAAAATTTCTGTTTGATTTTCACATCCCTCGAGCATATCAGAAACTCAGCAACCAAAGCTCCCTTTGCTCTCCATGAGTGACCTRCACTTCAAGGCCCACGGTCACAGAATATGCTGAGCAGTGTGGGATTCCACAAACAGGGAATTGAAACAGGGCACGATCCCACATGACAGCAGCAACCAGGATCTGATCCCATTGTGCTCTCCTGCAGTGTAGTGTTTCTAGGATGAAATTCCCAGTTCTTTTTCCCAGTCCCTWGTTGGTATCTCCCATGGGATCCCTCCCATAACTGTTTTCTGTAGRTGTAAGAGAACAGCACAAACAGCAGTTTACACCAGGATTCTTGCTACTGCCTCCACTRGTAATGGTGAGGGGAAGTTTACAAAGTTAGTGATCATTGATCTTGTAATTTTTACTGAAGGAGGGATARTTGAAGAAAGTTTAAGGTCCTTTTCCAAGAATCACAAATAATAAATACAGCAGTAGCATCCACCAGGGAGTCTAGATAAGCATCTAGATAATACTTAATAAAATATTCTCCCAAAATCAAGCAGG